AAACAAAACCATTGTGTACCACAAAGCTTGTCAATATCCAATTCTCTTCAACAAGCAACATACCTTCTGTAGTGATATCTCTGACTTTAAAGGATACTTGGACAATACAGATGTCTGGTATATTGTATATGGTCAACCACCACTCCAAGTTCATGCTAAGACAATTCTTTTGTGTTCTCCCCAAAAACAACATTACAAGGAATTTGATAAGATGGTGGGAACAACAATATGATTAATGCCAGTATGGTCATGGAATGAGGTCAACAAATGCAGGATCAGTATGTTCAATCATCTCGAAGAAGCAAAGGTTGAGGATTTGTACTCACACTGGGGAGGGATTCCTCGATTTGTCCTAGAAAAGGTTCTAGATTCCTCTCAGCAAAATCATCTTGAAGATGCGATTAGCAAGAGTAATGGGAGATTATTTGAATTTGTTGGAGAAATTGATCACACTGATGATGTCAGTCACAGGATCATTCATATCCACACAAATCTACCTGATGAAGATGGAGGAGAGAATGAAGAGAATGAAGAGGCTTCCTACATTCAAAAATTCATACGATTTGCATCTGAATAGGTGGCTGAAAAAGTGATGGACAAACTTGAAAGGAATTACAGTCAACAGTTAAGGAATTTTGTGATAGCAAGCTCATCAGAAAATGAATATAGTACACTTCGAGGTGTAATATTTGAACAGATGGCACATCAAATTTTACAAAAGGGAGGGACATTTAATATTCATCCTTTAGAATCTGACATCACAAGTTCTACAATTGAAATACCAGAACGTATCAAGTTGGTATTTAATGACATTAATAAGATTGAGGAGGGCAAGTACTGTCAACCAATTCAAAAGAATTTTACATCCGTTGATGCAGCTGTTGCACCTGACACACTCTTTCAGATGACCATGTTAAGCAATATGCATTGGAAATTGACTTGAGTTCCTGATAAGTTTACCATATGGTTAGATTATGTTAATTTTATCATGTATTACAGACTTGTGTGATTTTTATTATTGCAAATTTTTATAAAAAAATATCTTTATTGCATGAAAATCATTTTTTACATGTGGTGGGACAATGGGATGGATTTGTGTTAATCCATTAATTGGATTTGCCTTTCAGCTGAAAAATTCAGGGATCTCAATTTTCATTACTAATAATTATGGAGGGCTAAAGATAAGCATAAGGGATGAATTCTTTGATCTTTATTATTACAATTCACAATTACATATTCATGGCTTTCTTTCCTTTACAGGGTCTATAACATCAGGAAAATGGATCTTCAAAAATATGCATAATTAGCAGAGATTTAGCAAACAATTAGCATACAGCTGTATGCATAATATTGACAATTTTAGAGAATTAGCAAACAGCTGTTTGTAAATTATGCATATAATTTCCATTTAAATTACACATATATTATTATTTGTAAATTATTTACAATAAATTCGCACATAGTGTCAAATATATGTATATTAAATATAATCAGGAAAATTGATCTTTAAAAATGCATACTACAGTCAACCCCCTATATGCACCCCCATAGATGCACACCCTCTCTAAATGCACACTCACACTCATTCCCGAGCTTGGGATTTAAGAGATAAGTGCACCCCTCTATAC